GTGATAAGTCCTTAAATATATGTTGAAATTATATTGAAGTTTTAATTGTGAATTAGAGAAAAAATTGTAAGGCCGTAATAAGTCCTAATTAAAAAATATATATATATATATTAAGAGTAATTAATTAAAAGTAAAATAGATAACTGAATTAAATTAATTTTGTTGAGTGATAAGTTATTGAAATATAATATGGAATAAAAATATAATAATTGTTGAATTAATTAATTAAAATATTACGTATTGAATAAATGTATGGGTTTATTGGCGATTAATAAATAAGTTATAAAAATAATTTTACGTATTAAAATAATAATCGTGAAAAATATTACGATTTAAATTAAATTTAATGAGTCGAGGAAATAAAATTAAGATAAGTGAAAATAAAAATTTGGTAACAGAAGTTAAAGAGGTTGAGGAAACCAAAAATAAAGAAATAATTGACGAAGCAGTAATAAGCGATAATATTAGTGAAATAAAAAATATAGACGATAAAAGTAACGATAAAACAGTAGAAAGTAACGAATTATTAATTGATTTAAGTACAGACGAGGGATATCAATATTCGGTAGATTTAAATAAGGAAAAATATTTAGAATCTATACGAGAAAAAGAGTTACATAATAAAAGTATCCGACCTATAATAGTTAACGAAACTGAATTACGACAAATAGGCACTCGTTCAAAGAAAGGAATAGAACATATTCAATTAGAACCCCTTACGCGTAAACCGAAAATCAAAATGTCTGGAACCAAACTTCCGTTAGAAAAAGCCACTATTATGATTCCCACATGTTCAGGAGAAAGAGACGTGTATCAGTTTATAANGTGTATCAGTTTATAAAAGCATGTGATTTAGCATGTTCAGCGGTAGACAAAGATGATCTACCAATATTAATGAAATTCATAAATACAAAATTATTTGACCAGGCTTTAAACGTATGTAGGTATAAGGATATGTCCGATTGGGAAGGAGTGAAATTAATTTTATTGGACGCGTTCGAACCACAAAGTTCAACGTCGACATTACAGGTAGCGTTAAATTCCGTACGAATGCGACCAAACGAAGACGTTAGTTCGTATGCTAGAACAATTATATTTTAACTTATGCGTAGCGAGTACTAAGGGAAAACAACGGATCAGGCCACAGTATTAAGGGATCAGCTAAAAGAACAAACGTTAGCAGTATTTATAAAAGGTTTAACACCCAGTTTAAAAACAATAGTAAAATCACGTAATCCACCCACATTAGAAATAGCGATGCAAATAGCCAAGGATGAGGAAACAGAATTGAAATCTGAATCGGATGCATACCAATATTACGGAAATCAAAATAGGAATAATAATAATTATAACCGACGTAATAATAATTCTGAGAACAATAATCGCTATAATAATAATCATAGATAAAATAATAATAATTTCAATAACAATAATAATTATCAGCGACAAAATTTTAATCCAAGAGGAAATAATAATAATTTTGTTAGACCGCAATATATTAGACAGGATGTGAATCGAAATAATAGAAATAATATACACAATAATCAATATCCGCCGCGAGATACTAATAATTATAATTATAATTATTTAAATAAAATCCAATGCTAACAGTGTGGAGGAAATCACTATGCACGCGACTGTAATCTACGACACAATAATAATTTTATGCGACCATCCAACACTCAAAACAATTATACGCGACCGCCCACTAATTATAATACTCCAGGAATTATCACTTGTACGTATTGTAAACTGAATGGACATGACATATCCACATGTTATAAAAAACAAAATAATGATCGTAATGCTTCGGGAAACTTACCAGGATCGGGCGAGACAAGTGGTGCTCGACCGATAAATTTAATATCCACTGTAGAGGAGGAACAAAACGATGTTTATATAACGTATCAATTTTAAATAATAATCATCTTACTTGTCAATCTGCCAACTTAAAGGGGAAAATCGCTGAATTATTAGTAGACACTGGAAGTGAAGTTAATTTAATAAAATTTGGTGTTTTAACAGGAGAAACACTTGTACATGAAAATAAAATAATATATTTAAAGGGAATTAATGATAATATAGTATCAACAGTAGGATTAGTAAAAATAATTTTAAATGTTGATAATAATGATATTGAAACAGAATTTCAAGTGGTACAAAACTCGTTTCCTATACCAAAGGATGGTATTTTAGGACATGATTTTTTAATAAAAAATAAAGCAATTATATATATAGCTAATAATTCGTTAATAATAAATGATAAGTTAATTAATAAAGATAATTTAAGTTTTACATTAAAACCAAGAACAGAAACAGTAGTTACCGTGCCAATTGCCGACACTACTATGGAAAATAAAAATATTATAATTTATAAACAAGAACTGATTAATGACGTGTACTGTGCCATCGTAATAGGAACAGTAAGGTCAGGGAAAATAATAATTAGTATATTAAATGTATCTGAAGTAACAAAAGAAATAAATGAAAATACTATTAATAAAATATTATATGAACCATCAAAAAATTATAGTACACACGAAATACATACCGATAATAATAATGAAAATCGAGTGAATAGAATTTTGAATTTAATACGAAGTGATCATATGAATGTTGAGGAAAAACAGTCTATATTTGAGATATGTGAACAATACGCAGAAATATTTCATTTGGAGGGAGATCGGTTAACTTTTACAAATGCTGCAGAGCATGTTATTAATTTAAATCATAATCAACAACCTATTTATCAAAGACCCTTTAGATTACCTCACTCACAACAAGCAGAAATTAAGAATCAATTAGATAAAATGGAACAAGATGGAATAATAGAACCTTCTAATTCACCATGGAATGCACCCTTATTGTTAGTAAAGAAAAAGGCCAATGCCAGTGGGAAGGAAAAGTTTCGTATTGTCATTGATTTCAGAAAATTAAATCAAGTAACACTAAATGAATTTCACCCTTTACCAAATATTACAGAAATATTAGATCACTTAGGACAATGTCAATTTTTCAGTGTGATCGACCTCGCCTCGGGGTTTTTTCAGATTCCTTTAGCTAAGTTCTCACGTGATCTTACAGCTTTTTCAGCTAATAATGCACATTTTCAATTTAAACGAATGGCAATGGGAATGAAAACTAGTCCTTCTACATTTCAAAGACTAATGGATAATGTATTATCTGGGATAATAGGAATTAAGTGTTTAGTATATTTCGATGACATAATAATATATGGGAAAAATTTAATAGATCATAATGAAAAATTAGTAGATGTGTTTGAACGATTGCGATTACATCACTTGAAAATACAACCAGAAAAGTGTGAGTTTGTGAAACGAGAATGTTTATATTTAGGTCATGTTATATCAGAAACAGGAATAAGACCAGACCCTATGAAAATCCAAGCTGTTCTAGACTTTCCAGAACCTAAGAATGTTAAACAAATTAAATAATTTCTAGGATTATCAGGATATTATAGGAAATTTATTGAAAATTATAGTAGGATCGCTAAACCAACAACGTATTTATTAAATAAAGATGTAAGGTGTAATTGGAATGAAGAGTGTGATCGAGCTTTTGGTAAATTAAAACATGCATTGTGCACTGAACCTGTATTACAATATCCCGATTTTACCAAAGAATTTATTTTGACAACTGATGCTAGTGGAAAAGCTGTAGGAGCAATATTATCGCAAGGAGAAATAGGTAAAGATCTACCTGTAGCTTATGCTTCTAGGACTAAGTCAGAGTGAACTAAATTACTCAACAACTGAATTGGAATGTTTAGCTATAGTATATGGAATAAAGCAATTTAGACCTTATCTTTATGGCAGGAAGTTTACTATCTTAAGTGATCATAGACCATTAGCTTGGTTATTCAATTTAAAAGATCCGTTATCAAAGTTAGCTAGATGGCGAATACAGTTAGAACAGTATGATTATGTTATAAAATATAAACCAGGAGTTCAAAATGTTAATGTAGATGCTTTGTCTAGAATGTTTTCAATTTAAGAAATTAAAGAAGAAAGTTACAATAATTTTCTAGTAAAATTTGAATCCACATTAATAACTAATTGCAATGTAAAAGAAGTAAATGGAGAATTATTAGATTCACCACCAGAATACCATATAGTAACTGAAATAGAAAAATGTTATAATTTTAGAACGGGAACTAATTATGAAATAAAACAAAAATTTGGGGATGATATAGTTTTGAAATCAAATAAACAAGAAGGTGAAGTAACAAAAGTTAAACTTGAAAATAGGTTTATATTTCTAATAACTAAAAGTAAAACAAGACAATTAACTACATATGGAAATTTACATACTGCTTTGTTAAATTTTAAACATTTTTGTGAAAAACATTCCTTAAATAAATTAATAATGAAACAGTTAGGAAGAATTGATGGATTAGAATGGACAAAGGTTAGAGCTATGATTAGATATATTTTTCGAAATACCGAAGTAGAAATTCTTATTTGTTCTAAATTAGAATATACAGCGGAAGAAAAATTAGTTATATTTAAACAATTTCATAATTCAGTGTTAGGAGCCCTTAGGAAAAAAAACTGCTAAAAACTATTAAAAAAAAACTACTCAAAAACCTTAGTAGTCTTTTTGGACAAACTACTAAGAAATTTTAATAGTTAACTACAAAACGTGGTTAGTAGTTTACTACTAGAAAATAATTAGTAGTTTACTACTAGTGGTTAGTAGTTTACTATTAGAAAATAATCAGTAGTTTACTACTAGCAGTCAATAGTTAACTACTAAAAGATTGTCAGTGGTTTACTACTAGAAAATTGTCAGAAGTTTACTACTAAAGGTTAGTAGAAAAGTAGGTAAGAAGACAGCTAAATGCTCAACAATGTATTAAAATTAAAAATTATATTATTACCATAAATATACATATATATACTAATTGAACGGAGTGTTAACGCTTGACACACACACATATATATATATATATAGAATATAAATTATAATTAATTATACATTTAAATGGTATTTTTAAGCCTGGTAGCTGAACCAACATTGAAGTCTAGGGCTTTTGGTTTCTTTGAAAAATTATTTAGTTTTGTTCTTATAGCTTTGTTCATAATTTCATCAGTAACATCTCTGAAAATATCTTGTGTAAAATCTGAAATATCATAATTAGGTATAATATATGTATAACAGGATAATTGATTATTTCAAATCTGTATAAATTATCTATTTATTAAAAAAATTTAAACATTGATACCTTTTATTGCCTTCACTTTGTTTACATCAAGCTGTTTTTTTAGTTCTCCACTTTTTATGAAATTACTTTTTTTGCCAGTAACTGATCCATTGCGTAGTTCATTGTCGGTGAATAAAATAATCATAAGATCCGATATCATTTTAGATGGGCATTTACGGTTGATTGATGATAACGCGAATGAGTTAACTTCTATTCCTGATTTAGGCCAAAGTTCAACCCAATTTTCTGAAGACACCTGAAAATAAATACAGAAATAAATATAATAAAAAAATATTAGAATATATGTAGTAATTTAATTGTATACATATATTGTTATAAATAAACGAAGATTATCATATATCAAAATATTATATAACTTTTTATTATAGTAATACGAACATAGAAATATATTAGTATAATCTTAGTATACCAAATACCTCAGATTGGTCCATGGCACTTGAAGCAACTTTTTTTACAATTTCCATATCCTTAGGGTTTGCTATTTTATCAATTGTTGACTGATTTGGTTTATCAACAATTTCTTTGCTCACTTCAACAACTGTGTCCTTTTCAATAACAATAGTTTTCTGAATACCATTAAAATCCTTGAAATAAATTAACAATGAAAAATAACTATAAATACATTTAAGCTTAATAAAACGTAAAATATACATAATATGTATCTATCATAAACATATATAGTTTACACACCTCTAATATATTGTGGGGTTGATTTGAAAGTAATTCAGGTTGCATTTGATTACAGAAATCAACATTATCAGCCTTGGAAACGTCTTTAACTACATTTTTACTTGTTACCTTTGAAACCATAGCTATTGAGGAAATATTTGTTCTAGCTTTTAAAGGAGAAACGGAAATTGAAATTTTTTGTTTTTCTGTAATACTTTCCAAATTTTTTAAAACTAAATTTGAAAGTTCGTGTATTCTTGGAAATGCTATACAGAAATAAAAGGTGTAAATATAATAAATATGTAGCAGTGAAAACAAATTATAATATAATCATGTATGTATTATGTTAAAGTATGTTCAACATATGTGACTATAACAACATTTTATGATATAATAGGTACATCAAATAAATCCTCGAATAAATCAATATTCATACTTACATTCAGAAATATCTATCATCACTCTTTGTTTAGCAATAGTGGACCTTAAATCTTTATTTTGAACTTCTAGCATTTTCACTTTGATAATCAGATCATCTTTTGATAACTTTGAGAGTGGAAATGACAGATTTTCATCATCTGATGAATAGACTATATCTTCTTGTGGCTGAATTAAAACCAAAATGAATAAAGTTTAAATTAAGCAAACATCCTTAAAATTAGTCAACTACATATATTTTTTTGGGTAAATTTTTGTATTTAAATAAAAGGTACCTAAATATTTGTTATGTATACAAAGTATTTAAGATTATTAATTGATTGAAAGTATATTGTTATAACTTCAATGCTTAAACAATTGAAAGTATATTGTTATAACTTCAATGCTTAAACAACTGATTCCTAATTAAAATGACAAAAAGTAGGAAAACTTTACCTACTCATATTCTCAAAACTTCATAAGGACCGTTAGGATTATTAGATTTATTTAGATACAGACTTAAAACAAAATTTAAAAAGTGGGAAATTATAATTTATTTTATATACACTATGTATACAAAATTAATTATTAATTTCAATTATGACCTAATACATATCAATACCTATTTGTATTTTTCATATAAAATTGACATTATTAAAGAAAATATAATTAAATGTTTATTTTAAATTATTAATTTATTATTTAGTATTTTGTAATTTAAATTCATAATGTAATAATTTGCTACTGCTTATGGCCTACCTATAAAATACTTGGATATAATATTAGGTACAATATAGGTACATTAAGTGTAATAATTGTATTTATTATAATAATATTTATATTATTTTAACAGATTTTAACCCACCTCTAACTTATCAACATGATCCTCAAAATTTGATCCGCATGGTTCAACTGCTCCTCTTTTGCAATTTAATTTTTTTAACACACTTGATGAGCTTAGCACTGCATATTTACGTTTAGCTGAAGCATTTGTGGTTGTAACCTAAACATTATAGTTGTTTTAATGAATACCTCATGATATTTCATAGTATACAAAGCTTAAAGTTTATGCTAAATAATATTGTATTCAATATTTTATTACCATTTTATTTTTATCGGTGACAGTTGATTCTGATAAAATAATATGTCTTTCATGACTTTTAGAGCGACATGGAGATATTTTATTATGTGCTATATAATACTTTCTTTTTTCACACATTTCAATCCAATCTGTATAACAAGTTGAAGTAAGAAAATATGTTATTTAAGTTATAGATTGGAATAATTAGTAGGTAAGGGAACGCTCAGGGAGGTTAATAATTTAATAAGTACCTAATGGAACTCTTGCACTCTGGGAGATATTATGGTGTGTGTAAATGACTGGTGTAATGGGTGCTTATGTAAATTATAAGTAGATAAATAATAATAATAATCAGTACATACTTAGATTTGATTTAAAATTTTTAAAATAAACTGTATTTTATTCATACAATAAATATTACTTCTTTTGTTAACTCAAAATTTCTCGGTGCGCCACTGGTAACTACTATATTACTAATATTAATATATACCTATTATCTAAACTGAATTTTATTACTTACTTCCTTGTGCTAAAAGTATAGCTGAAACTTTTATCCATTGCATCTCTTTTTTTTTACATCTTTTAATCATACCTGAAGCATACGTCACATCCATATTACTAGGCCAAAATAAAACTATCTCAGTTTTTTCACTGATTAAATCTTGATTATTAATTTTATCCTCTGTGCTTGGTGTAGTCTGAATCCAACATAAGAATCCAACTTCCACAGAATTACCTTCATTGGTAAACTCAAATAGTCCACAATTTGCATCGCTGATAGCACTTATTAGTTTTTCATTTTCATTAATTGAACACATTTTAAAAATGACGATGTCGATATTTTAACGAAAAACAATGACGGGCGAAAAAAAAAATGTTAACACTCAATATAAAACTGCTAATAATGTTACAAAATAATAATGACACAACAGAATATGATCATAACATAGATCGCATTAAAAATTTAAAACAAAGCAAAAACCGCTAGGCCTAGGACCATTTCAGGTTATGTATTTATAATGAAATTGACGCGTCTCTTGGATATTATGTGTACCGTTTACCATATTGTGCGGTCTGCGCCGCCGTACGGGAACGCGACGTACAGTAAGTTGGTGTCAACGCAACGGTGGACGGTGGCGTGTGCGCGTATCAGGGCTACATAACAATAATATTAAGTTATTAATAGTTTATATTATCACAATATTATGATGATTGTAAAAACTAAAATGTAAACATGGAAAAATCAGTTATTAGTTATTACTTATTATACAAGGAATATTTTTATCCACACGACACGTCGACACGTATTCTATGATATTTTCTTTATATTAAATTATTTCTCTAATATCATTTAAGTAAAAAATAATTTCTGTATCATTTTTGCGTACTTATACAAATAAAAATAAATGGATAATTACGTACCAAAAAAATATAAGAAGTTCCTTACTATAGGAAATAATGGATCGCCAACACAAACAGTTTCTAGACAAACTAAGTGGTTTAGAAGACAACTGCAGGTAAATATATTTCATTTTTTTTTAATTGTTTGTGGGTGGATTTCTTTAATATGATACAGTTAATGTCTTCAGACTGTATCTTATGTAAGTCAAGGTTCACAGGGTTATTAGGATCTCATTAAATGCTGTACACCTATTAATTATTTATTAACTAGGTATTTAATATTCTCTATTGTTTTATGTATACTCAGGAAAATAATTTGAGACCTGCATTAAACAGAAACTTAGTAGAAGTTGCAGATGATGCTCCCAATAATGTAAATGATAATAGTGACCAAAACATCAATCCAATCATTGAAGTGAATCATGAAGTAAATTATACTATTTATTATTTTTTATTAATTTAATTTTATAAATAATATGCATATAAGAACAACAGTTATTATTATTTATTACCAATTTTAAATAACTTTTAATTTGCATTTTTAACATTGTGTTTTATTATTATATATATTAATTGAAAGAATTTTATTATAATCTATAAGCAAAATGGTAATACTAAAACAAAGCTGGGCACTAACTTGTAAGAAAGTTTTAGTTTATAATAATTTAGTAACTTAACGAGTTGAATTGAATGTGTAAAATAATTAATTCTTACTTGTTAAAAACAATAAATAACTAGTTATTATTCATTTAAAAATCTAAATGTTCTGTATAACTGCCGAGTGCCAACTATTATTACCTAAATCTAATATCTGCAGCTGTGATAATAATTTATTAATAGTTAATGAATATTGAGATTTCAATCTTATGATCATAACATTTTTATTGTCGTATTATTTCTTATAAATTCTTTATATTAGTTATAACTTGTAATTCTTATAATACATATTACAAAGTATAACCAATATAGCCTATAGATATAAATAGTATCTACATTTTGGTGGTTGTGTAT